AAGTGACAAGGTTGAAATGTGATCAAGATCATCTGGACTCGTCGATCTCTCCCCATCATAATTGTGTAATAATCTGTCAATATATTCATACAAAAAGTGGCTCTTGGTGAGAGATGGCAAAGCGAAATAAAAGTTGCACTCCATCCTCAACAGAGTTTGGGGTATGGATCTTAGATTTTAAGTGCACACCATTCTTGACAAAGTTGATATGTTAGGATATTGAGCTTAGATTTTAAGTTTTAATTCTCAAGTTTTTGGCCATGTTCCAAAACCATATAGTGAACTTAAAACTTAGGTGAGAAACGGGTGTACATCGAAATTTACACTAGTCGCAATTGGCCAACGACACTGATTGGCAATGGCAGCTAGGCACATCCGTTCCATAAGAAAGAATGAATCTGGCGCAGGAAAAAATTTTAAATTTTACTTTTAAAATAAATAACCAAATAAGGGTATAGCCGAACGGCTATATTGTTTAAATATATTATTTAAGGACTTTTTGAATATATTATTTAAGTAGTATAGCCGAATGGCTATACTATTTATTTATATTTAAAAAGGACCCGCCTAGCCCGCCTGGGCGGCCCATTTTTGGAAAACTTGAATGGCGTAGTTTTTTCTTTCAGATTTCCTTCTTCCTGGCGGGTCTGGCATCTCTGCATATACATCAATCTGGGGTTTTAGCGAAAGAGTGAGAATGGGAGCTGGTACAAAGGAGTTTTGGCATTATCCATACCTTTGTTTCCTCGATTGAATTTCTTAGTTCCCGCAAGCTTATTGTCCCTTCTGTTGATTTTTCAGGTGATAGGTTCCATTCACTGCACCAGAAGTAAGGGTTATGCATCCCAGATGCGACTTCCTTTTGCATTTTCAGATTCACTAGTTTCCCCTACTCTCCTCTAGTTCAGTCATGCTGTCATCCAGCTCACCTGTCACCCATAACAGAAAATTTACATATTCAACACAAAATCAAAAGGTGGCATCACCAAACAGTGGTAAACTTTCAGACTTACCTCTCTGTCAGAAATTGAGCAAAGTTCCTAAATCTATAGGTCTTAAATATGATGCTGAATCTTTACATGTACTGCCACGAGCCTTAGCTCAAGTGACATGGGTTGGATGGGCTGAACTGTAGATCCTAGGTTCAAATTTTCTTCTAATACGAAAAAATGAAAAACAAAAACAAAAACTACATAAGTGCCGTCAGTAATCAAGTGTAGGATTAAACATTCCTACTAAATATGCATATAAAAAACCAAGGCTTGTGACTATAACCATCTCAGAAACCTGTAATGCGGCTAATTTCAGACTGATCTGTTGACTGGCTGCTAAGGTAAGTCCGAATTACATCAGCATACTCTTTCTGCTTCACGTGAAGAATATCAATCGCTTCCCGCAGATTTTTAACCTCCCTCTCCATCATATCATCAATCTTAGGTAACTGGATGATAGCATCTGAGAATCACAAGAAAAACAAAGAACTATAATCAGTACATAATTCCTCATGCACTTACTCCTTCAAAAATAAGTGTTAAAAAATGAAAAAGTTATTGTATGAAATTAGTTTGTACAACAATGAATTTACAATTGAACCTCTGACCTTCAGAAGATATCTTTCCATCCAAAGTGTGGACCATGCTCTCTGTTTTTTCCCTATGAGAATAAATGGTATGTTCCAAGAGTTTTAACAACTCCCTAGTAGACGTATGACGCAAAGTGAGAGCTTCTTCAACATATTTAGCAATTTCATCATTGCCATTAGCTTCTATAGAATCTCTTTGTAGGAGACACAAAGAAACATCTCCCCCGCAGAACATGATGGAATTGAACCTGAAAAACACACTGGTCAAACTAATCCATATGATGTGAAGAATAAAATAAAATGAACACTAAGATTTTGATTTAGTCATCAGAAAAAATTAGGAAAAAAAAGATGAAGTAGCATAAAACAACACATGTGCTGTAAAATACCACGAGAATAATCAGTGCCATCTAAAATTTGTAAAGCATTTTGGCTTCCTCCAGCACATAGTCCAAGAAGAATTAAATCATCAACCAACTGGTCAGCAAAATAAAGAAATCACCATCAGAAAAAATTACATGTCATCCTGGTGGACACAATTGAGACCATGAAAAGGAAGAAAAACCCAACCAAACATTCAAGATAACCTGATTCCATATTTGATTCACTGTGATTAGCATTTCATCATAAGAACCTTGCTTATCCTTTAGTTCCTTAATTTTGGCTTCAAGATCCTGCAAATCATGCTTCTGTTTGTCTAGCTATTTGCTGAAGAAGTCTCTGGTTCTGGTACTGGAGAACTGCTGCATCGACCTGGGCACATATAGTACGTACACAAAATACCGATACATTTCAATCTACTTCCTATCTCAAATCAAAATTGAAGTGTACTTGAAATGCATTGAACTATCAATGTGCACTCATCTAAATGCATGCTTTTTTATGAAAAAGCATACTAACTTCAGAAGTGACTTCATCAGCTTAGAGATTAATGATGCTTTACTGCCCCAATTACACAATTAATAAACAGAAACCCTCTAACCTACACCCTATACTCCAAAAATTCCAATTCTGTAACTTATATCCCTTTTCTTACACTTCCTCGACAACCAAACAGAGCATAGTACATTTTTCAAATTCTCAAAAGCACATCCAAAGCAGAAATTGCCCAAACTCCAATCAACCCATCAATCACATATTTAAAAAAAAAAAAAAAAAAAAAAAAAAAAAAAAACCTACCTTTTCTTTAACCAAAAAATTTGATCAAAAGCATTTTTCCATCAGTAACCAAGCAGACTGTAAAAATATATATATATATATATATAGAGAGAGAGAGAGAGAGAGAGAGAGGGATTACGCTATGGTTATTGGGTGGAGAAGTGGTGGAGCTACGAGCCATGGTGGGCGAAAGTGAGTATAAATGAGGCCTCTTCTTCTCTTGCTCGTCAGAGTCTGAGTTTTCCATTTATCGTTGTTATGGTGCTCTTTACGGAACCCACCGCACCATTACACCTCTCAGGTTCCGAGCTCTTTCTGTCAAAAAAAAAAAACCCTATACAACCGAACGGCTATACAATTTTTATTTTAAAACAGCACCCAGTATAGCCGAACGGCTATATTATCTATAATTAAAAATAAGACCACCGCCTGGCGACTTGCGCCTATTCCACGTGTCGAAAAGGTATAGCCGTGCGGCGATACTGTTTTTACTATGCTATACATTATTTAAAGAGTATAGCCGCCCGGCTTTACTTTTTTTTTTTTTTTTTTTTTTTTTTTGTCCTGCCTAGGCGGCCGATTTTTGGAAAACTTGAATGACGTTTTTTTAATTTAGATTTCTTGTTTTCCTTGGGGGGTCTCACTCTCTATTTTCTGTACACAAATCTATTGAGGGTTTGGACAGGATGGGAATGGATTTAATAGAAACTGGAAATCCAGATGCATTCAAACAGTATCTGTCGGAGTTTGACAACACCATTCATTTGTAGAGGATCAGTAACTTGGGGATTATTTTCTGTCTTGTGAGTTTTGTTACCATAATTGGAACGATTTTCTTTTTAGTTTCTCTTCCTGTTGGTTGAATGGTCTAATTGTGAATTTGCTACAATGTTATAAATGCGGGGTTGAAACTTGGCTGGGTGAAGGAGCTTTTGAGGGAATTATTGTAACAAGAATTTCAAAAATTGAGGTATCTTGTGGCTTTGGAAGATTATGATCTCTGCATATTATGAGATTCAATAGATTGTTCTTTAAAGAAATATCCATTATGCAAAATCTGACTGAGAGGCTTAGGCCCCTTGTGGGTTTGAAGACCAACAATTGATTGATTATATCACAACAGAACGCAACATTTCAATGTTATGAATGCTGATCAACCAGGATGGCGGAGTGTGAAGCCAGTCTTGGGGCTGCTCCTCGCAAGGTCATCGCAAACACCTTGCCCATCAGTGCGTCGTCGACCTTTTGTGGGAGGATCATGACATTTTTGAAATGTTTTAGGTGGCTCTCGGGATCTTAATCCCCTTTGAAGTGTGTAAACGAAGGCGTTGAGAATCTCTTCGGGGAAGCAGCCTGCTTGATTTCGAGGGTGAAAGGCATAGAGTTCGCTTGGTCCATCTCCTTACGTAGTGCGTCTTTGAAATTCCTGCCGGTCTTCAAGTCTCAAAGTCGATCATTCACAAGCTTCTCAACGTCTTCCGCACACATTGCTGGTCGATCACGTTGGCGATCTTCGCAATTTGGGCGATGCTGATTGACTTCCTCGTTGATTTGCGAGTGTCGACCTTCTCGCCTGCACTGCTTAGGCGGCGTGTTGGTGGACTGTGCTTGCGAAGGATTTTTTGTAGCTTGTCGACGAGAATCACCTCTTCAAGAGTGAGCAGCGAAGCGCCCTTCCTCATGGTCCTCATTGTGGGGGTTGTCCAATTGACCACCCTTAGGGCCTAGCCTTTCATGAATGCTCCTCTTCGAGTGGACAGCTGAGCGCCTTTCTTCACGATCCTTGTTGCGATGGTTGTCTAGTTGACCTCCCTAGGGGCCTAGCCTTTGATGTACATTTCCCTGCAGGCCCAAGTTGGCGCGGATGTCAAGTCGTGGGCCCAACCTTTTGTGCACGTTGTTCCTTAAACTCAATCTGCTCTAAGTGTGGCTTGCAGATGCTTGCGACATGTCAGCAGGCCGATCACGTTGTTATCCCTCGCCTTGTCTGCTCATTCCTGCTCGACTTGCTTGGTACTCGTCGAGTTGCCTATCGGCGCGTTCGTCCATCATTCTCTCTTCGCCCAATTGTCCAAGGCCAAGGTTTTGAGCCAGGCTTATTTGGTTGAGGAGCTACTCATCAGATTGCTTTGGTCGTCCATTCTCTAAGCTAGCTGGTCAACTCTCAAATTAAGGTCTGCTTGACTTCGTGGATCGGGACGAGAAAAGTGCGTAGAGCCCAATTGCACATGGGCTAGGGTTTCATTAGAGGTGTACGCAGGAGCGTGCGTTGAGCGTGGAGGCAACGGAGGCCTTTCAAGGAAATGAGAATGAAGGAAATGATCATCTAAACAGTAATCATTTCCAGCAGTCACCTGTTATTTCCCCAGTGGATCATGATTCGAATGTGACATACGACATATCAGGTGATCGAATCCTTCTCTGCCGCACTTCGAATGTGCCAATGAATGTCCTGCAACATGTCACTTACAACTCAGAGAACAGCATGAAGAATCTCCTTCTTTTTTGTGAGAATTGATAATGCTCTTGTATTTGATAGAGGTCGTGTGTTGAGCTGAACACGAATGATCGTCAAAAATTTCATCTTTTATATTTGGTTTTGAATGTATAGTTGATGTCTTGTATGATTCTTAATTGTAAATAAAGGATGGGATTCGTGATTAGTACCAACAGATGGCAAGACCCTCGAGGTCGATGATAAGAGCAGTGATTTTTTCAATTATATTTTAGTATTTTCTGATGTGAAAATATAGTAGCTAGTAGTATATAGAAATGTATGTAATAATATTTCTTCAAGTTGTTGTACGAGGATCATGGCAAATATATCAATCATATTGAAGAGATACATATATGGTGCTTGTTGTACCTTATTTATATGATAATAAATAATGATCTAACATTTTCCTTCATCATAGTCTTCATCATAGACATTATATCTCCACACATAGAGAGTGCCTTATGATCCCTGAAGAGCAATGAAGAACTATTTGTTATAAGATGTGTGCTGATTTCATTATAAGTTCCTATCTTGATTTCATTATAAGATGTGTGCTTAATTTGGAAAATGGCCATTCTAAATTCCTTGCTACATTTTTTGTAATATCACATGTGCTCGCAATTGTTCTTCAGCCTTGCCTCTGCCTATGTTTCTATCTTAACCTTTCCCTAACCACCAAAGGTTTTCTTAGCTAAATTTCTTTAAGGTTCAAGAAAAGTTTCTTGGTGAAAAAAATGTTGGTTGCACCAGCTTAACAACAGGCACAACCAGTAGACAAATGAAGTAATATGTTATATTTAAGAATGAGATGCTACTTCTCATCTAACACATGTTGTTTGAATTCTCATTTTGAATAGTTCATATATCAATGTCATATGACCTCTGATACCTTCAATAAATTTAAAAACATAGCTGCAAACTTCTCTTCGTTGTCTCGTTAGACTGTTTTGTATCCAATTTTTCTTCAAGAAAGTAAATCGCTATACAAGCAATTTTATACTATGAAATTCAACATCCTTTGATCCACAAAATGTTGAGGGATTTTGTTGTCGTTGTTGTATTTATGAGTTCAACCTATATCATTTGTTATAAATAAAATTCATTTTTTATTCTTGCCCAATGGGCTAATAGCGGGAAATCATTCGACGAAACGACTTGCAAACTTTTCCTCTCCTCCTCTACTTGACCCACCCAATTTAAAAAACCCGGGTCTCACCCAGGTGCAACTGCGAGATAAAATATATTTTTGGACTCTAATTTGGTCATTGGGATCGAATCCTATTTATTAGATTTGTTAAGTTCGGTTTTGAATTTGTCGGTAGCCTGAAGGGATGTGGTTATAATGTGTTTGTGATTGTGTCGGGGCTGAAACCTATTTTAGATTGATGAATGATTGTGGATTGAGTCCTTACAACTACTTATGACTATGCCTGGAGGGTAGACTGTGCATGCTGAAGTGTGGAAATTTTAAACTGTGTTTTTGACAGGTTGAAAAATTTGGTTAAGTCCGTTTTTCAAGGGAGACTCTGCCGAAATTTCGGTACAAGTCTCGGCCCTTCTTTTCCTTTGTTTTAGGGGAAGAGGACATTTGAAATCAGTAAGTGGGCCCGGTATCGGTTGGATGTCGAAAATACCACAGGATCCGTCACGGATTCCGAGGAATTCGGGGCGAGTCCTGTCATTTTATTTGTATTGTTATAGCTTGGTTTTTTCAAGCTTTATCTTTTAATTATTATTTTAAGTTTGAAATCCTAGTTGGGATGCATACGCCAGAGTTTCTTCGATACTGCGTGCTCGTTAGTGGAGGCGCACCAGATTGTCTTAATTTTGATGTTTGGTAAAGTATTGGCTTTTCACTCGATAACTTACCGGTAAGTTGTAGTCTTTTCACTGCATCATTTACATGTCGATTAAATATCGGCTTTTCACGCAATAACTTACCGGTAAGTTATAGGCTTTTCGCTCAATCATTTACCTGACGATTAAATATTGGCTTTTCACGCAATAACTTACCGGTAAGTTATAGGCTTTTCACTCCATCACTTACATGATGGTTAAATATTGGCTTTTCACGCTATAACTTACCGGTAAGTTATTGGCTTTTTGCTCTATCACTTACATATTGAGCGTAAAATTATCACACATGCATGCGCACTGATTTGATTGAAGTTGCCATTGTTTTTCGATCAATTTTAACATGCAAATACTAGTCATAACTCTAGGGGTTATTTTTTGTTATTTCAATCCCTAGTATGGACATGAATATATTAAATTAACAAAGACATAACTATTTTCGGTAGAAAGGTTAAAGAGCGTGCTGTTGAAATTGCCAAGGCCATAGATGACGAAGATGGGTTGATAGGAGCATTGAATGCCTTTCATAGGCACTTTCCTCACAGTAAATCTGAGGATAAACCCGAGTCATTGCCTGCTAGAAGTGGCTTATTTTCCATCAGTAGGTGTTTTGGCTATTCCCATTTCAGTACACATCCCACGGCCTCTCCTCCACATTTGTAAGTTGGAGCAATTTCTCTCTGTAATGAGGCTGACTTGAGTACCCTACAACAGTAAGAAAAGAAAAGAATACCCACAAATTATCTTGTAATGACTGCAAAAAGATTCAGTCTCTAAGCCCCAAGTTGTTAGTGTGTCAACTAGCTGAAAATGCAGTTTTGTTTTAGTACACAAAATTGTATTTACAGGCTCCTTTTGCTCTACCATCCCCAACCAACAAACCACCAGTGATAGTGACATGTACATTTATCTTCAAGTTCTCAATCTTGTTGTTGCTATAACAATAATTGTAATAGACGAAGAATTTGCTAAACAGTTCTGTCTTAGTTTGCTAGACCATAGTTTGTCATAAAACTGTGCCAACAAAAAAAAAGACTAAGACAAATATAATAAAAGAACAACTAAGGCAGCTTTGACGGAAAAAAAAAAAAAAAAACAAAGGCGTTTGACTAAAACAACCAAAGTCATTCGAAGGTTGGAAAAAACTAAAAGGAGACAAGTCAGGTTTTTCCTTGCGTAGAGCTCATCGATACGAGTTCATAGACACGTAGTGGGCCCAAATCGCAATTTTAACGAAGAAGTTACGGTCACGAGAAGCACAGTGGCACAATTGTAAATATTTCAAGGTCAGAATTTTAAAACCCAGGTCAGCTTCTTTCTCTCTCTCTCTCTCCTACCACGACTCTCTCTCTCTCTCTCTCCCCGTCGCACAACAACATTTTCCAACGCTGAATCCGGCTTCGTCCGGCCACCGTTTCAGAGAACAGCATGAAGAATCTCCTTCTTTTTTGTGAGAATTGATAATGCCCTTGTATTTGATAGAGGTCGTGTGTTGAGCTGAACACGAATGATCGTCAAAAATTTCATCTTTTATATATGGTTTTGAATGTATAGTTGATGTCTTGTATGATTCTTAATTGTAAATAAAGGATGGGATTCATTGATTAGTACCAATAGATGGCAAGACCCTCGAGGTCGATGATAAGAGCAGTGATTTTTTCAATTTATATTTTAGTATTTTTCTGATGTGAAAATATAGTAGCTAATAGTAGTATAGAATGTATGTAATAATATTTCTTCAAGTTGTTGTACGAGGATCATTGGCAAAATATCAATCATATTGAAGAGATACATATATGGTGCTTGTTGTACCTTATTTATATGATAATAAATAATGATCTAGCATTTTCCTTCATCATAGTCTTCATCATAGACATTATATCTCCACACATAGAGAGTGCCTTATGATCCCTGAAGAGCAATGAAGAACTATTTGTTATAAGATGTGTGCTTGATTTCATTATAAGTTCCTATCTTGATTTCATTATAAGATGTGTGCTTAATTTGGAAAATGGCCATTCTAAATTCCTTCGCTACATTTTTTGTAATATCACATGTGCTCGCAATTGTTCTTCAGCCTTGCCTCTGCCTATGTTTCTATCTTAACTTTCCCTAACCACCAAAGGTTTTCTTAGCTAAATTTCTTTAAGGTTCAAGAAAAGTTTCTTGGTGAAAAAATGTTGGTTGCACCAGCTTAACAACAGGCACAACCAGTAGACAAATGAAGTAATATGTTATATTTAAGAATGAGATGCTACTTCTCATCTAACACATGTTGTTTGAATTCTCATTTTGAATAGTTCATATATCAATGTCATATGACCTCTGATACCTTCAATAAATTTCAAAACATAGCTGCAAACTTCTCTTCGTTGTCTCGTTAGATTGTTTTGTATCCAATTTTTCTTCAAGAAAGTAAATCGCTATACAAGCAATTTATACTATGAAATTCAACATCCTTTGATCCACAAAATGTTGAGGGATTTTGTTGTCGTTGTTGTATTTATGAGTTCAACCTATATTATTTGTTATAAATAAAATTCATTTTTTATTCTTGCCCAATGGGCTAATAGCGGGAAATCATTCGAATGGGAGGTATCAGAAAAAATTTAAATTCTCATTTCCTAATATCGCATGTATAAATAAAATAATTGAAGTAATAACTCTAGCCCCGCGCGGCTTTACTTTTCCGAATACATTTGGATATTTAAGAGTATAGCCGTTCGGCTATACTCTTAAAAAATATTTAAGGGTATAGCCGCACGGTTATACTCTTTGAATACATTTGAAACAAACACGAAGCTTGCACTCGCATAGGACGGAGGTTGCAGACGCAGTCAAGTTTCGGCTGCTTCGTCCTCCTTGTTCGGCACCGAAAAATGACCCAACCCGCCTAGGAGGCCCCGCCGAGCCGCCTAGCCGCCAGCCTAGCGCCCGCCACCGCCTAGCCTAGCGCCCGCCCAGCCGCCTAGCCGCCTAGCCGTCCGCCTAGCCCCATTTTTGAACACTGCGACTGACTGGAAGTCTGAAAACCCGAAATTGAAAAAGTTTACCTGCAAATTTGAGCTTGAGATTGAGATTTGGAAGCCGAAGCAAGCACAAGTCATGCAAACCCTAAATACAAAATTTGCTGACTTGGGGATTATTTCCTTTCTTGTGAGTTTTGC